CGACACTTGTCCAGTACTGCAAGCCCAGTACAGCTAACGCTGTAACACAAGGCGTTTGTTTAAAATTCACAGGTTGTTTTTTTAAGAAAAGCCGTCAAATCTACACGAATGCGAATGTGCAAATTAGTTATACGGTCAAGGGGACATAATATACGCGGCAAATCGTTAGGGGAGGTCTTTGGTCAATGGCCACTCGCCATCAGCCATCGGCCAAGCATTGGCCAATGAATGGCCCCTCTCGGGCCGCTGACTAAAAGAATATCGCCAGACATTGGCCATTACTTGGCCAAAATCCGTGCTGCTTGGGAAATTTGCGCCTGTTGCACGAGTGTTAACTCCAGCGGACGACTGTGCTTCCCATGTCCTTTATTTTTTTTTTATAAAATATACATAATCTGTGGTTTTCTATTACGCCCAGCAAGCTTATAACTGAAACCTTCCGTTTATTTTAACTAATTCTTGAAGTAAGGTACATGAGTTTCGAATTAATGCACTTCTCCTCATATATTATGCTCCTTCGCTGTATACCTGAACTGCATAGACTGCACTGTGCAACATTCGAGTTTCTTTTTATAAAATTTGTAAAGCGTAGAAAACACTGACTATTCAACGTAATAAACGTGAACGAGAGAATATGAATTTACACGAATCAGCGGAAGTACAGCAATGGAGTATTAGTCGTTATGTTGATCGTAAATGTCATATTAAACGAAGGGTTCCTCTTTAGTAGGAATAGTACTTTCTTGTTTTAAGAGGATGATATATTATTTAACATCGCACACAGAAGGGACTAGATAAGGAAACGTCCGCACCGTCACATGAGGTTTGACGTTTTTGACGTCGGTTCCAGGTGAAGTTCAACCTCTACGTGCGATGCCTGGCGGCGCTCGCATCTTACGTGTTTTGGCCACAGCGAGCGGAATCGTTGGCGCGGAGATGTGACCCAGTAAGTGAACGAAATCTAGAAACGCGTTAATGGGCAATTTTTTCGGTTTGCCGTAAAATGCTGCGTGAGTCATATAATTTTAATGTGGGTGGATTTAGTGGCTTTCGACAAGTTGCATAAAGTTTCGTAATTAAAACTGTACCTTTAAAACTTATATTAAAAAAATTACCGAAAATCAATAATGACCTAATTACACTGAACGCTAATAATTTGCCTGAATGGTATCTAACCAAAACAACTACGGTGTCAGTCTTTTTTTTTTTTTTTGTACCGTGCGTATTTTTTGCAAGAACGTTTAGAGACACAATCAGTATGTACAGTGTGCATCATTTTAAATCGAACAAAGTTAAAAAAAAAAAAAAACGAAAGGGGGTGAGAATTAGACAAGTATTTAGCAGCTCGGAGTACAATAGATTAGGGTATAATCGTCATCAATCTACTTTTTAAATATTGGTGTCAGGGATTACGTTCAATTTGGAGTATTCACGGCAAATGCTATTAGAAGCCAAAGAAGCTTAATTTCCAAAAAAATACTGTTTTTTTACATCTCAATAGACCGATCCACAAATTCCACACCATCTAGCGGCAGGATTTCCAAACAACGCGCGGGCGCTGCTGGCAACACGCTGGCAACCACCGACCGCCATTGATATGGCGACAGATGGAAGCGACTGCATAGCGAGTGTGTTCCTGCAGCTGTCGCCGCCGTTCCGATTGTACCCGTAAGATGCCGTTTCATTGCTGTGTGCCCCTCTGTAAGCAGAGAGGCGTGAGGGATGATCACGGAGACAAGGTGAGATATTTTGTTTTGCTAATTCGACTATCGTCTCATCTTAGCATGGACTGACCGCAGAGGCTGTGCTAGCGCGAGACGGTAGCCTTAATCTAGCACTTGCGCTGCACGGGCGCTCGCGCAGCCGCCGACGTGTCGCTTTTAGCAGGTGCGGCCAACAATAGTCCATGCTAAGGTGAAACAAAGTATAAAGCACACGAGATTACCACTTCGTGAAAAAAAGTTTCGCGTATATGCGTGGAACTTCAAAATGCGCTACACCGCTACTTTGAAGCATGAGCTACATTCCGCTGAGCCCTGGTTAACATCCGTTATCATTATTGTTTTCCAGGTGTCTTTCTTTGCTTTTCCGAGGAACCCTGTTTTGCGGAAAAAATGGTTGATTGCCATAAAACGAGATGAGGGAAAGCACTTCACCATTTCGAAGTTCACAAAGGCGTGTTCAAGACATTTTCAAGAAAAAGACTATCCGTCAAATGTTGCTTGTAGTCATCGCTTCTTGAAACAAGACATTGTGCCAAGCGTGTTGGCATTTAACGTAGCGAAAAGACCCCCGAGGAAGGCGCCCCTTCAAAGGATGCCACCTACACGCAAGATTCCTACAGCCGAAAAAGATGGAACAGACTACACCAGCGCGAACGGCGTCACCAGCGACGCTTCAACGAGTGCTACGACCCTTAACGAAAGTGTCGACGTTGACGGAAACCAAACCAGCAATGATGTCGCAGTTGAGGACAGTTCTGCCGACGAAAACAGAAGGGACGCGAAGGTCGACACAATGAACGCTGCCGTCGACACTGACGAAAACGAAACCAGCTACGCGGTCTCCGTTGAGGAGAGTGCTTCCGACGAGAACACAAGGGACGTGATCGCCGACACAGTGAACGCTGCAGCTGACATTGATGGGACCTCCGACATCGACAACGCCGCTAATGAACACGGCACTGAAATCATCACTAACACGACCGCCGCCTCAGTTGCAACCTGCGACTCCTCGATGGCTGACAACGCCACCGATATAGACGTGACTGAAACTTTTGCCACCAACCTCCCTACGGACTACACCATAGTTGAGTTGGTGCCCATCACTGAGTTACGGCGCCTGAAGGAACAGTCTGCATCCCAAGCAGAGGTTATAAAAAACTTGAAGATTCAACTGAACAGGTGCAAAGACCAGTTAACACAAACTGAAGACACCCTGCATCATGCCCAAGCAGAGCTTCAGGCTCCTCTCGCCAAGTGTAGCTCTTTAGAGAAACATGAAGCAGAACTTGAAGAAACTAAGCATGCCCTGTTTAAGTGCCAAAGGGAGCTTGAGCTTTTGCTACAACAGTGTAAAACACTAGAGGCAAAATCAAGTCGCAGATTTTGCTTCGATTGTTTTAAGGACAGCCCAGCAGATGTACTCTTCTACTCCGGCCTTCCAAGCCATGATCACTTCATGCGTCTTTTAAGCTTCTTAGACCCAGGTGAGGACGGCGAGAATGTAAAAGTTTGGTCCACCACGTACAGTGACAAAGCCTGAAAAGCCGGAAGGCGCTCGATTTTGTCTCCCGCTGAGCAGTTCTTTCTGCTACTCGTCCGCCTCCGGCTTGGACTCTTTGAAAGAGATCTTGCTTACCGCTTTCGAGTTTCTAAGGCCACAGTGTCAAAGGTGTGTATAACGTGGATAAGCTATGCGTATGTACACTTCGGTCAGCTGCACCTGTGGCTGCCAAGGGAGGCTGTGGATGACGCGATGCCACCTGCATTTAAAGAACGCTACCCAACGACAAGGGTCATCTTAGATGCAACTGAGGTAAAATGCGAAGCCTCCAGCTCGCTCGTGCTGCAATCGGCTACTTTTTCTCCATATAAATCTACAAACACGTTTAAGGGGTTGATCGACATTTCTCCCGATGGGACAGTAACATTCATATCTGAGCTGTTCACCGGTTCAATGTCAGACAAGGATTGTGTAGAAGAAAGTGGTTTCCTCAAGCTGCCCTTTGATGACGGCGACTCAGTGATGGCTGATAACGGTTTTAGGATAGACGAAATGCTGCAAAACATCAATGTTCAACTGAATATACCCCCTTTCCTTCGTAAAGGTCACTTTACGACTGAAGAGGTAAAGGAGACAGAACAGATAGCTTCTCTTCGCATACACGTGGAACGACGAATTCAAAGGATTAAGAATTTCCACATATTTGACCGGCCGGTTCAGATTTCACTTGCTCCAGTTGTCAGCGAAATGTGGGCGATTTGCGTGGCTCTCACCAACTTCCAAAGTCCTCTGATGAGAGCCTCTAATAACTAAAGCATTTGGCTCTTTTAGAAAAAGCTCCTCTTTCTACAGTGATATGTCTACCCTCAGTAAGTAAATGTCAGTGTGAAGTAAATGCTTTGCTACTTTGTGAATAGTCGTTTGTCATGAATAAAGAGACAGTAGTATTTGAATGCAAGGTATGCACTGAAACAGCGTGCCTTCATGCTTTATTCTTCTGCCGTTTCAAGTTGCAACTAAACAAAGAAAAAATGAGGTAGACTTGTATCTCCCTATATCACATCATTTACAAAGGCTACACCGCTAATAATTCACAGAATTTACACAGCTGGGCTGGTGCACCTTACGTTATACACTGCTAACAATTCCCTAAATAAAACAAGATCAAAGCAAACAATATGAAGGCTCATGGTCTCGACAACAGTGCAAACAGTGTTCTCGAAAATAAACTAAGGAAGGAAAATGACCAAGGCAGGTCGAGGCGTGTACCCAACTGGCAGTGCAAACATTCGCCATCAAGCCCCAACGGTTGCACAGACAGTAACGCAATGGGGAAAGGCTCTGCAACTGCCGTAGTTTGTCAATAAATGTCCATGTTGCAAGTTGGAACACTTATTCTGCATTAGTTTTTTTTTAGTTACTGGCCGATATTTTTGTTGGCTAAATCAATGTGAAATGAATGAGCGCTCATAGTCTCGACAACAAATAAACAATGTTCTCGAAAAAACACTAAGAAACGGAGCAAATATGACCCAAGGCAGGTCGAGGCGTGTTTTTAACTGGCAGTGGAAACATTCACCGACAAGCCCCAACGGTTGACTGGACAGTTACCTAATAAGGAAAGGCTCTGCAACTGTCATAGTTTGTCAATAAATGCCCATGTTGCAAGTTGGAACCATCTCTTAACCTGTATTACTTTTTTTTTAGTTACTGTCCGATATTTTTGTAGTTTAAATCAATGCGAAATGAATAAAACCTCATGGTCGCGACAACAGTACACGGAGTGTTCTAGGAAATACACTAAGAAAGGTACTGAAAATTACCAAAGCAGGTTGAGGCGTGTACCCAACTGGCAGTGTAAACAATCGCCGACAAGCCCCGACGGTTGCACGGAGAGTTATGCGATGGGCAAAGGCTCTCCAACTGTTCAGTTTTGTTAATAAATGCTTCTTCTGTTGGTTGCAAACATAGCCTATTCTGCATTCATACTTTTTTGCTTTCTGTCAGTTATTCTTGTAACCTAACTAGCACCCTCTTGACCAGGTCGAAGTTCTCACTGGTCTGGCCTACCCACTTGATAGGGTAGTAGAGTCTCAAAATAGAACTTGTCGAGCACCTCCTTGCACTTAATCCAGCCAGAAGGGCAAAATCGAATCCGTTCTATGATCAAGAAGTTTTTACAATATACCACAAAGTCTCCCCAGGTGACGCCAGAAAGGGCCATCTGTCCCAATAGCTGGTAGTAATGGCTATGGTCACGCTTTAGCCTGTATACGCCTGCGGCATCCTTTACTACAAAAAAGCTCTTGGAGTCAGGGGTGTCACGGTTCCACATAGTGTAGGGGCACTTGACCTCGACAACCGCGTGAGGGGGTGTCTCGGCTGGATCAAAAACGCGCCTGTCTGGGGACGCTCCCAACCATGGCGAAGAGGGGTTCACCATGAGGCCACAGCAGGTGGTCTGGATCTGGTGACCACAAGACCGCAGAGTCTTTTCGTAGTGCCTCACGGCATGGGGCTCCTGGGTGATACCACGCCTGAAATAAACAAGAACAGCAAAAATGCTGTTATCAGGAATCTTCACTCCCAAGAGAGAGAATAAAAAATGAACAATCCCTGCTCTACTGAAAAATACTTTAAAAAGATTATAGGCAAAGGACACGACCGGCATTGTTACAGAAGATGACAGGACAAAACATCACAGGTCAGGGTTCCGACTGTTTTGGCAACAAATATTCAACAGCTCTTTATGTTTCATTTTATGGTCATCTGCTAATCCTCTCTTTGATGGCTACATTCCGAACTCCCAAGTGATCCTACCAGCTCGCAGGTTGACCTCTCAGCTATTAGGGTATGAAAGTGTGACACATGCACACATGCCGAACGCTATATGAAATGCCAAATGTCATACGAGACGCCAAAGGCAACCGGACACCAAACATATCTAGGCGCCAAAACCAAACAGACTGGATTTTCCTGCAGACTGTGGTCGTGACGAGTGAGGGCATGTGCTCTACAACTCGTTTAATCGAGATGAACAAGTTCGGAAACGATTTACTGCTGTGGTGTATCAGATTAATTGAACTTGTGGGAGAGCGCCTTTCTCGTCGACGCATTGCCGTTAGGCTTAAGCATTTGCCGCGTCGCAGATGCGGAAGGAGTGGGGGAGGCTATGACAAGGCCAATTTTTATTGAGACGTGACTTGTATTTCTGAAGTGTTGAGCATGATCCTTCATAGCCTTATTGTGAACCATTAAAGCGTGACAAAGGTTTTACAATGTATTTTTGTGCCTACCCTGGTGGCCTAAAGAGCTGAAGATAGCCTTCACAGGGTCACTTAAACCTAGACAGTGATTACGAAGGAGAGCCGGCAAGCTGCCGTCAGCTTCTGTCGTCTTTCTTCGGGTCATTTCGCTTGCCATGACAACATGAATTGACATTGCAAATAAGCAATGTGCACTGAATAGACCTTTTGCGAAATCCCCCAAGCGCCCCGGCCCGGGCGCGAGGAATTGTGGGAGAAACTGTCCCTCGCCTGGACGCTCTGCCTTGAGATTGCATTGCCACCTCTTAATCCTGTGTGTTTCGATTCAATTACCTATTTTTTATCTATTCCAGTGTATTTTTTATTGCTTCTAAGTGTTTCTATTCTCTTCTGCGCACAATATTTCTTGTATATATATATTATTTGTGTCTTTATTTTGCCCTTTTCGACGGAAGTGCCGACAGGACAACACGCCGCTTCGCGCGTCGTTCCCCGGGTGAGTATGTATACCGTTGCTATCGATTCCTGTCGCGCTGTTAGCTGTTAATTTTGGTTCAATTTGACCCGCGTGCAGTCGAGACAAGACGTTTATGAATACCCGCGCACATGTCATAGGGGTAGGCAGATCTCTGAACCAACAATCGCGACGCGAGAGCCGAATGCGCAGCGATTTGGCCGCCCGCGCTCGCTCCGTTGACTCGCACTGTAGCGTATGCCCTTCGAGTGCCGCTTACTTGACCAACATACAGCACACCGCTTTGTCGCCGCGAACCATTTGTCCGAATGTTTGCAAAGCTGACGCATATGCAACGCTGTGGCGCCTCACAACTGCACGTTGCGGCGCGAGCCCTTCACACCCGCCACTGGTTCAACGTCGCAACTTGTATGCGCTTATGGTATACCTTCTTAATCTATCTGCTAAGCGGTTGTCAGTTGCAAACAGCCTTTTTCAAGTGCTGACAACTGCCCGCCGCTGCGTGCAGTTGTCAGGCGCTGCAGCGTTGGATATGCCGACCGGTGTCACGGTTTCGCAGGCATTCGGACAAATAATTCGCGGCGACAAAGCGGCGTGCTGTATCTTGGTCAAGTAAGCGGCACTCGAAGGCACGCGCTACAGTGCAAGTCAACGGAGCGAGTCCAGGCGGCCAAATTAGAGCGCACCGAGCTCTCGCGTTGCGATTGTTGATTCAGAGCTCTACCTACCCCTATGACATGTGTGCGGGTGTTCATAAACGGCTCTTCTAGACTGCACGCGGGTCAAAATGAACAGCTAACAGCACGATAGGAATCGGTAGCAATGGTAATACTCACCCGGGGAAAGACGCGCCAAGCGGCGTGTTGTCTGTCGGCACTTCCGTTGAAAAAGGAAAAATAAAGACGCAAATATTATATAAACAAGAAATATTGCGCGCAGAAGAGAATAGAAACACTTAGAAGCAATAAACAATACACTTGAACAGATAAAAATAGGTAATGGAATAAAAAAACAGAGGATTAAGAGGAGGCAAGCGACAAGGCAATGTGATCTCAAGGCAGAGCGGCCAGGCGAGGGACAATCTCTCCCACAATTCCTCGCGCGCGGGCCGGGGCGCTTGGGAGAATAGCAAATCGTCTATTATATATCGCTTCAGGACCAAGAAGTGCAGCCATTTTGTCAAACTGAGTGTCTGTAGGTATATTTTTCTCTGAGTCCCTACCCGGTAAGCCAAGTGATCTTAAAATTCCCCCTCCTAGGTACTCTGGCTAAATTTTAGCTGCGGCTAGCACTAACCGCGCTTCGAGCAAACCGACTCTGGTGTATAAAGCTATACACAAACTCGGCTCCGTTATGTAACGGTGCAGTGGTGGCGCGTCGGGAGCACTTCCGGTCAGGAGCTGTGCGCAGAAATTACTATGCGGGACGTGCATTCCTGTGTTCCTTTGGAAGAAACCATACAAAAAGCCGCCTTCTCCTCAGAACACCGTGGCAGTACCAAAAGAGTCAAGAAAGTTATGAAGGCCAGTTTCCATGTGTTTTGTGCCTGCTCAGTTCGTCCGAGGTGTGGATAGGTGGCGCAAAGAAGGAAAACCAGATGCCGTCAGACCACGATTGATTGTGCGGGAAGCACTTTGGGTTGAATTCACAGATACTCATAGTTGTCAGATTTATTTGTTTTGTTCCAACATGAAGGAGGGAAAACCACCAAGTTGTATGGACCCCCTGCGGACCATGTTCAGTGCGTCTTCAAGTTCAAACGACCGCCTGACCGTTTGAACTGTCGTCTACTCTTTCAAACGTTTCTGCTTGTTGTCGTCTGCTCGTTCAAACGACAGCATCTTGTAGACGGAACATTGACCCGGTAATTCCGATCAGAAGTAAGTGCAGGCCTCAAAAGACTTTTAAGTTTGAAGGTAGGTTGGGGTAAGTAAGCTCGGTGTAAACAATAGATACAATGAGATATTTATCATTGTTACCCGTGGTCATCACCGACTCGTTATGCCTGATACACTTGGTCCGATTCTGCTTGTGATTTTCAGTATTGACGTCGACCATCCCAGCTACGGTTCACGATATTGCTGCCCGAGTGATTTCGCGCCTGAAAAAAGCGAGCAAAATCTCATCATCCGAATTAAGGTTTACGTCCATTCTGCGGCGTCCAGACAGAATGAATCGCCGCATGCCACATTATTCACGCGAAGTTTTGCAGTGTAACGAGCCTTGGCAATCTTGCTGAGGCCGCTCAAGTAGTCAGACATTGCCAGGAAGACGCAGAATCAACAATTCCAACGCTTGAGAAAGAGCATGGGGACTCACACCAACGCCGACAACCTCGTATACCAAATGGTTTGTTTATGGGCGACGGCATGCTTTTTGCTCACACTCCATTGTGCATGTGCGGCACCGGGGGCGTCCGCTAGGGGCGCTTTGGTTTGTTTGTAAACATGAATAGGTCTATAGGACCGGTAGTGTTAATCTCCGCTCTGTTGATTGACAAGTTGGTAGGTTTTGCACTCCGCCGGTTGCAGTGTTTTTACAGGCACTGGTACAGCTTAATAGCTTCGAACATCAACATTGATATCAAAAGTCACCGTTTGAGAGCTCCGTTTGCCGTTTGGACCGCTCAGTAGACGCTCCTTTGGAATCAAGGAAGCTTCTACCGAACGGACCAAATAGAAGCTTTGATTCAATGCGAGAATTTTTGCATGCGTGCATAGCCAGGCTACTCTCCTCTGAGGAAGACCAAAATAACTGGGTAATGTACCTTCTAAAAGAGTCACATTGCATAGAAAAGTTAAGAACTCACTTGACTGCCTTGACTCGAGACAAGTCCTTCTTTTCAGTGAGGTTCCGAAGCCCGACATCAGTCCACGATTCTCTAATCAGGACAGATCCGAAGGAAGACGCTGTGAGTCTGTTGGTGCGAGCAGCCTTCCATGTAGCGCTCTTCGACTGCTGCCGGCTGTCCTTCTCAAGCTGGCGTGCTTGGTCCGGAGTGAGAACCAGCTCCTAAGTAGACAGACAAGATAATGGGCAACTGAAGGCTGAATGTAGTCAGGAGTCTCTGTAGCGGGGCTAAGACAGCAGGTGCTCCTTGATTTCTATGAGAGGGTTAGACCCAAGCAGAAATTCGGAGATCAGTTAAGCAAGGAGAGTTTTTTGTTTTGTTTATTAGATGTATTGAAGATTTGTAGTAAGGTGGATTAAAAGATATTCATAGGAAGCGTGTGGCACCTAAAGAGGACGCACTGCTCCGCTGCCAATGGTTGCATCGGCGTTGCGCTGTGGGAGCAAACCCAGCGGAGTGGATGAGCGCCGAGTTACTCTCATTCCCACCTTGTAGTACGCACATGCTCCATCCACGACTCGCAGCACAAGTCTTCCCACTCAAGGCCCTCAGTGTGCGTCAGAACATCTCCTTGGCATTCGAAAACCTATCTGCATTGAGCGCTGGATCTCCTGGATTGAGTCGGAGCCCCCTTCACTCCATCGTGTTCCTTTGTTTATCTGTTTGCGTTTTTGTGTGATGAGTTTGCGGCACGCTGGTTTACCAGAACGTGCTTTTACAAATTGGTTGCGCGTCCGACGACAGCTCGACAGCTACTATATATTCAGGAGTGAGTCAATGCTTGATTACAAACATAACGTAAGTAATTGCTTGTCCACGACTCCCTGCGTGCTTCTCCGCTTATCTCTGTGTGTTTTCAGTGAGTCTGATGCAAAGTGGTTCACCGAAATATGCTTCTACAAATTGGTTGTGTATCCGACAGCTCAACAGTTACTACGTGACAAATTCATGGATGCTTGTGATTACAAAACTGAACGTAAAAAGTTTTCGTTCCTATTTTAATTGGTTGCTTTCGCTGTTGCAGCAGTAATGTATGACAAACTGGACATAAAGATGAGGTAGCTTCTTGAGTTTGCACGTTGTTCGCCTGCGTGCGAATTAGTGGCTCTCTGTTTTCAAGTCTCACCGCTAGTGCAAAATGGTTAGTGTCGATGTGTTGCTGCAGTAACTACAAAAGAGATCGAAGGCGGCGTCCAAACTGCTCCTCGATAGGGTGCCTCGATAAACGTCCCTCTGGTATAGATGCACCCTACTCCTCGAGGCTTGTGCTGGGTTACTTTTCCCAGGCTGACCACAAGCAGTCCCTGCCTTTTTGACTGCTACCTCCGTGGCCCCGAGGCAAGACAATAGACAAGCAGTCCCTGGTCAGCAGGTTGAAACCGAGGTGACCTGGTGCCCTTACAAAAAAGTTTGTCCTCCACTGGTGCATGCCACATGGCTTTTGTTTGTTTGGCATGAAGCAGCTTCATCGGTTACTCATCCAGTGCTGGACAGGAATCCAGAGGCTTTAGCACTAGCAACTGAGCCAACGAGTACTGACACACGGTTCAGTTGTTCCGGATTTCTGCAGTACTGCCTGTCTTTGAAGTATTTTGTGTGACGAAAAACTAAAAAGATTCGTTCTGGGCGGAAAATTTTGTAATAATGTGCACAGTTCACGAAGAAAAACCTTGTTTTTCGACATTTCGGGGTTCCGCTCACCGTGCACGCAATGGGCTCACTACCCGCTGTTGCAGCCAGCCATCCTGTTACATAGCTCTGCCAAGACGTGGCGGCGCTACCATCTTTTCGCAGACTTCCTATGCCAGCTTGTTCTCTGCCATTTCTTTTTTTGTGACACTGTGTTTTGAGATTACGGATACAACCCGAGGTTTTGGAAGAAATTTGCGGGATTTCTGTTTGACACTAAAAACAAAAACAAAAATAAAATCAATAGAAACAAAAACATATCCAGTAACTTGCGGTTATGAATGTGCAGGGACTGTCTGGGGAAAAGTGGAATGGTCAAGAAAACTACCATGACCCTTACTTTCAATTAATGTTAATGGTCTCATTGAAGGTAGTCACTGATGCAAATTTTACCATTAGATTGTGAAATATCTCTATTTCATATATACTTATTCATTTCAGTACCCACCAAGGCATGAACTGTATCATACTCTTTGGTCACTGAATATGGAATGTGACGATAAAGGAAGCTGGAACAATACCTTAAAAAGTGACCTTTCGGCATCACTGAGGCTCCGTGCACCAGGCCCGAAAGTGTCTGACAGGGGGAAAAGAACTGGCCAGCTGGGCAGTGCAGTGCTTGAGGCATCTCTGCCGCAGGGAGCAATGTTTGGGCTCACATGCACCACAAACCCGTGTGGCGTGAGTGGTTGCTGGTAGGAGATGGAGCTGCCCTCGGGGACTTGACCAAACATCGAAGCTGTGCCCAGTACCTGCACAGTCCGCAGGTGCTTGGCGAAAGGGGAGTCCCCGAGGTTGCCGAGGTCATTTCCCAGGCGCTGTATGGCTTGCTGCATGCCAGCCAGGTCTCTTGGTCGTTTTCTGGCGTCGTACAGCCTTGACCCCTGTGCTTTTGAAGGTCCTCCTTCCCGTGCACTTCTCCAATCCAGTTCCTCGACGCTGGCAGCACAGATTTGCGAACCACGGGGCCGACGCCACTGCTGAGGCAGCTCCGTGCACGTCACCTCGGGAGGTGCTTCCGTGTACCCTTGCCCCTTAAGGAGCACGATTAGCCTCAGCAGGGCTAAGGCGTAGTTACAAAGGCCTTCTTTTGCAGCGCACTGGCAGCTGCACTCCGAAATAGAGCTGTCCGCAGCGATCGTTGTCGACACGCTGTACGGCTTGCCGGTCTTCCTTTGGCTTCGGTAGCACCGCCCGCGGACCACGACGGAGGTCGCATTCCTGCGTACGCAATATGCGGGAGTTAAAATAGAATAACCGTAGACTACTTAACGACCAGCGATCGCTAATGTGGAATCGTCAACTCACCCATTAAGACATGTCGTTTCCAGCGACGATGGCTCAAGGTAACTTTCCGTTAGGAACTTGTAACTACGCCGCCGGTTACGATCGCTCGTTTTCCGGGCGGCGTAGTACTCGTCAACCTTGTCGGCTTTGAAGTCCTGCGAGATCTTACTTAAACTCGTAGCCCATACGAGGCTGGTAGCAGCAGCACCAGAACCAGCGACTACGACGGACGCCATATCAATGGCCGCTCCCCCCGCTCTTCCTCCAAACCAGCGTTGCCTGTCGTACTTCACAAGACTGCCAAAACTAGCGTCTCACAGTTGCCGGAAACAATTTCGGGAAGGGTCTATTGATATATTATCGCTTTTTTTTTAACCAATTTAACGACGGCGCGCAAGAAGCCCGCCGCAACCACTTCCCACAATACCGCTTAGAGGAGTGATGTAGTCACTTCAGTCACGTCGTCACTGGGCGCTTTCAGTAGCAGCTCCCTCGGCTCCGCAAGGAGTAACTCGAGTCGGCGTTCCAGGAGCCGCTACAAGACGGGACACGAACGCGTCGCTTGCGCCATCGCGCGGCCCGCTGCAGAAGTATCTTACGACAGCTAAGTTTCCGGCCAACGTCACATTGAAATACGCGATGAAGTCAAATTATTTCGCCCTTTTTTAGATAGCAATACGGCAGAAACGACAACAACCTGCTACTCCAGTGCTTGCTCGAGAAAGATTTCGGCAAATTTCAGGACCACCAATGACGGGCGAGGTGATGAAGGGTGGCCATGCTTGTCGATCTTACCCGAGGTGTCTCTGAAGATACGCACGCGATGAACTGGCGCTTGCTTTTATTTGTAACACATAACCGACGCGGCTTCGGCACATCCGCTGGCTCGTCGGACTCCCAAATGATCCTAGGGACTGACCGATTTGTTGCTCAAGTCGTTCCTCGGTATGCGGGCACCCAATTGAAGGAGAAGTTCAGGATATAGAGGTTGATATTGGAGGTAAGAATACGGCTTCGCAAATTATTTGTGTCGCGTAATCGTGATGTCAGTATTGGATAATTCAACTGTCGTTTGTTTGAGGCCTAAATAATCTAAAGGTTTTTTAATCGTTCCAAAATAATTCATATACTACCACGAGATGTCTTTCTGATATTTGAAACTACGGGACCTCTGCCCATATTTAGAATGTGTAACCACAGTAATAATACTGGTTTTCATTAAACTTATTGTGAGTTATTTGCAATATAAGAGGTACGTACACGCCAGTGTGCGAGTTATAGAAGGTGTAATAAAAGACACGTATTCGTGTTTTTTTTTGGCTGCCCAATATATTACGATGTAAAAATAACCTATTTGGAAATTCCTTTGGTGAATTTGAAGCATAACCGAGTGAACGCGAGTTCGCACCAACATTCACAACATAAGTGTGAAGGTGAAGGAAAAAGCACTTTTAGTCAACTACCATCAACGCGCGCAAGTCTTTGTAAAAAAAAAAAAAAATAGGTTAAAATGATGAAATGAAGCTAATCTCAGAAGGAAGGAGCTACGAAAGGCGACTAACGGCTGCAGCTTGTCAGAGTGCATGGAGGCAAGGCCACAATAAACCACGTTCACCCGTTCCTTATTCTCGTACAGGTTAGCAAGTATACGCGTCGTTTTTTCAGTACTGTTGAAATTTGGGCTAGTTGGTGAAGCATGTTTACGGGTAGAACAGCGTGAACACGGCACAGGACGCAGAAGTGACCGCGCCGTTGGCCGCTTCTTTCAAAGTAAAAAGTTGACAGTCAGCGCTCCGTCTGTGTGCATCTTCTCTTTCCTGTGTCCTGTTCGCGCTTTTTTGCCCGTGAACATTTTATCAAATTGTAATGATCTATGTTGTACAGTTCTGCCGTGGCCCAGTGCTTCCTTGTAATCTGTTCGTCGTTTGTTGCTGTTTTTAAGCGGAGATACAAAGAGTAATCCTGGTCCCATGACGCGGAATCAAGAAGAGTTGTTCGCTAATTTACGCTCTATAGTTCAGGATCGAATCACCAGCATTGAAAAGCTCAAGGCAAGACAGGAAAAGGTACTGAGTAATATTAAAAGCTTAAAGCAAAACTATGGTGAAAAAGCGCCGAAAAATGCATGGACAGACAGAAAAACAACAAGACAGGGCGCACTCTCAACTAAAGTTTATTTGAAAAGTACACACATGTATACCCGACTGGCATACTAATCGTCACTCATCTTGGCCCAGCCCGTTTCAGGGCTATGCCTGTCGGCAGTATTTGTGTGTACTTTTCAAATGAACTTTAGTTTAGAGTCCGCCCTGTCTTGTTGTTTTTCTGTCTGCCCATGTATATTTTGGCGTTTTTCGACCGCAGATATGTACCAACTGGCCCATATACGTAGCTTTTTAAACAGGCCCTGCAACGACTTTTTGACTGGTTTTACTTTGCGCCTAACCTGAGCGAACTGAACGCAGTAACTTAATGAAACGTTTCCTTTCCCGAATGGCGCTTTATTTTAAAAGTTACATGGAAATTAAAATTACAAAAACAAGCAAAACATAACCTCCATCTTGACTTCCTTGGTCCTGGCTTGGATGACCGTGAACTAGAGGGGAGGGGGGGGGGGGGGTTAGTGAACTCTGCAAGCGCTCACCGCTGCCGCTCTCAGTGTCGACGGCTCGAGAGGGCGCTACTAAAGCATGTGCAGGATAGGCTGAATGAAGGGGTGGTTCTCATTTGAACCCGTTCGCATTTCTACCTTCTCGTTTTTACCTTCTCATTTCAACCCAGCGCAAAACAACTTTCGCGCTTCTCCCTTTCTCATTTAAACCGTTCTCAAAACAAACTTTCGGGTTTTGACCCTTCTCAAAACGACTTTTCTCATTTTAACCTTTCTCATTTCAAATTTTCTCAAAACATACTTTCTGGTTTTGACCATTGTCAGAAAGGCTTTTCTCATTTTAACCTCTCTCATTTCGAACCCAAATTAATCTAACATCATGATCTCGCAATCTTTCTGCGGTAGTTATGGCGAATTCGGGTAATTAATTGCCTTCGAGCCCTGCCTGTGGCACCGGCGACCAAAAACGCGCCAGCGGCGCATCAAGTGACCCTCTCCACCCGAATGCAAAGCACAATGAACTGGCGTTTTTATTTGACTGGGTCGCGAGTGAGCTCTGTTAACTTCTTCTTCGATCATTCTATGGTACCATGAGCACGCTGCATACGCCAACAACATAAATTATGACTCTTTGAGATGTGTGTAAACAGAAGCATCTTCACAAAACTTTTCAAAATATTGGCATTACCACAGTCCGTACAGCTGACAGAATATTAAAATATAAAATCAATGAAAGGGCAGATGTATAAATCAGTGTGGTGCTGCCCGCGCGCGCGTCAAGTTTCAATAAACTTTGTTTGGATTTTCGACTAACTGTTGCCACGGAGGCTTGCCAGCGTCGCTTTTCATATTCTGTTTACTGTTAGTAGAGAGTTTTAGTAGATCGTTCCCATGACTTCGATAACGATACCCGATACTCCGCCACCACCTCCCTTGCACATGCATAGTATTGTTATCGGGGGTATCGGAACGATTTACTAAAACTCTCTAGCACCTTTTTTGGAATCCTCAGTCTTCTGATTGCACCCACCCTCCTTGAAATTGTAATGCGTGTTCAAGTTTCAAACTGCATCGCTATGCATACTTTTTTTTTCAGCGGTGTAATAACTTGTTATTACAGAGTTGCAAAATAAAGTGATATATGATGCAGCTCGTGTCTCAGAGCAAACATACCTTGCTCAGGCTGGATAAATTCTTTAAAAAATGTTGACTTTCTTTTAAACATAAATTATATTTCTCTTCGTTGTTTTTGCTATCTTGTCTCAGAGCGCAAAAGGGTGCCTGTCTCGATGGCTTCGTTTGCCACTCAGACCCGCTATTTGCCGCCTAAGAGACCATTGTTTCATTTGGTTCCCTATCCCGATTCGGATGTGGCGATACCGGATGCAGTCTGGCAGACAAGGTGCCCGACCTCTTGGAGCTCGGAAAAACTTCTGCTGGTAAATTGCCGGTACATGCCTGAGAAGCGCAACCTGAGAAGCTTGCACCCGCCAGCCTTTGACCACGCGAACGCCCTTGCCGAATGTATGGGAAAACTTTTTTTCCGGGAAAATGACCACCCGAATTGCCCATTACAAGCAATAACACACGACTAGCACAATGATCCATTTGCTGCACACGACGTCATCTTAACGACATACTGCGACAGAAGAGAAATGAAGTACCGAATCTGCACTAGCACTTTTGAAACCACGTCACCATGTGACCATGTAGCTACGTCAACAGACTCGGGGTGGCACGCAGGCATAAGGAAAATTGTTTCATGTGCTATGCAAGAAATGGTGCCGCTTCGCTTCATCTTCAACCTTCATCGTTTCAACTGTTTTTCCTTCTTTCTATACCTCACTACGGTGTTCAAATGACAACGGGTTCAAATGAGAAAGGGTCGAAACGCGAAAGGTTAAAACGCGAAGGGCGTTTTGCGAATGGGTTCAGACGAGAAGGGTTCAAATGAGAATGGGTTCAAATGAGGCGGGTATAAATAAGAAAGGGTCGAAACGCGAAAGGTTAAAACGAGAAGGGCGTTTTGCGAATGGGTTCAAACCAGAAGGGTTCAAATAAGAATTGGTTGTTTCGAGATACACACGAATGAAGCGGGCGGCAAGGGCGGCCCGCGTTGCATTTGCTGCGCGATTAAACACTAATTTGGCATGACATTTCATTGGCCTAAAACGACAGAAACAGAGGGTAAAGATCAGTTTTGAACAGGAGCCACTTTGCGCTGCCATACCGCCAAACGGCCAAACCGCAAGCGAAACTTGCTCGCCGAAAGCCTTCAGAACGCTCAGGAACCGGTCGAATCTTCTACGCCATACAACCGCAGCACTGCCGCGTACATCCGGGACCTTTCTAGACTCGCCGCTCGTAGGTGCCTGATCCCGCTCCACCTTCCTAGTATGCGCCGCCTTTTCCACCGCTTGTTGGCGGCGAGTATGTCGACGGATCATTTCTTGCATCCGTACTTTATTAAGTGCATTTTTTTTTTCGATCTAAAATACTGAACAAATGCTACATTAATAAATATATGAAACGGTTCGCGCCACTTATATTTTGTATTTCCACGAAAGAAAAAAATGCTTTTTGCGGCTTTGACCAGTAGTAAGGCCAGGACAAAAACGTCACGATGTCGTC